TTTTTTGTATTCTTCTTCTTCTTCCTCTTGTTCTTCTATTTTTGTATTTTTGTATTTTTTATTCTTTTGCAATGGAAATAATTTATATACGTTAATTACTCATCGTTTTCTTCCATGACAGAAATGCTGAATCTTCCTTATTAAACATATTATTTATTTCATAACATTCTATATACGCATAAACGGGGGTAGCATATTGTAATTAACGAAAGTATGTCTTTCTTATTTCGAATAAAAATGTATATTCTAAGCATGAAGTAAAGCTTACACGAATTTAATGAAGATTATATTTTTTATTTATTTTAATTTACGATCGAGATGAATGAGCAACATTATATAATTACTGTAACAAAAGGCAACGTTAAATATTAATATTTAATAAAATCTTTAAAGATATATGTGTAAATAGTGCGCATAATATTATTTGAACCTTTGTCTTCGATAAAATTTAAAACAAGTTCTCGGATTTGCTTATACTAAAAAGTATTTTTTTTATTATAATATATTATAATGTTATCAATATAATATCTTATGCATTTAAATTAGATTGATAACAATTAATCAAAAATTTTAAATAATACGCGATAGATATCTTTGATACACTTTTTTCATCTATTACCAAAGGTAGGTAAGTAAAGCAATCTGTCTTACCTTCATTTTGTTTAAATAAATTAAAAAAAAACTAAAATTAATTTGATTTGATTATTTCAAATACTACGATTAATCTCATATTTAAATTCTCATTTAATTTAATTCAAAATTTTTGTTAGAGCCTTGGGAGATTGCGAATAACTCGTTGAATTTTCAATATTTTAGTCGAAAAATGTTATCATGCATTTATTATAATTGAGCTACTTATTTTTAAAGTAGCATAAGTCACTTTTTTCTTTTTTCTTTTTTTTTTTTAAATGAAAAGATACCGTTCAATTGTAATTAGTGTTGACATTTATTCGATTTTTTTGAAAAAGTGACTTATGCCACTTTCAAAATAAACGGCCATATATCAACTAATATATCCTTACAACATTAAAACATTCCATGCAGTAGTTTACTTTAAAAAAATTCTCAAAAATCATCTTTTTTCAGACGGTCACACTAGTGGTGCCCCTGAAGAATATTATATAAATATCTTACATTAGACCGTTTAATCGGAAAACATTTTGAAAATAATAATTCTCGCTTGTGTGATAAAATTATTTACAAAATTAATTCTTTTTTTAAGACATTCCAGTCTTGTTTTATGATATCGCTACCCTTTTCGGCGATCATGATAGTGGGTGCATTAGTATTTCCATTAACAATAATAGGCATTATAGATGCATCAATAACTCTTAAACCCTTTACACCATAAACTCTTAATCTTGGATCCACAACAGCTGTTGAATTTTTTTTTGGTCCCATTTTGCAAGTTCCCGTTGGATGATAGATTGTATAAGTGTAATGTCTTATAAGGCATTCCCAATAATTGTACGTATTAAAAAGAAATTGTTGACAACCAGGCAATTGTATGGAATACAATTCTAAACCGGATCTTTTAACTGCAGTTGTATTTGACAAAGACATTACTATATTTATACTTTCGATGAGAACGTTAATATCTTCTTTATGAGCGAGATAATTCGGATTAATAACGGGATGAGCAAGAGGATCTTTTGTCTTTAAACGAACCCAACCGGAACTTTTTGGTTTTAATAAAGTTGGTAATATTATCCAACCTGTAACATTCTCTAACAATTTCCCTGCGGTTTCGTAAACGGTATCTTTAAATCCAAAAGTATTTTTGCGATATTTATCAAAACCATTGGATTTATGAAGTAAAAAAAAGTGGAACTGAATGTCCGGATATTCACCAGAGGGATCAGCGTATTTAGTATTAACGAAAGCAACTGCATTGATTCCACCAGCAGTCAAAGAATCGTTTTTGTATATTATGTAATTTAAAAATTTTGTTAATGTTGTTAATTGTTCTCTTTCTGGAGTAGTAGATTCGTTTACAGTTAAGAACAATCCATAAAAGCTAATATGATCCTGAAGATTGTCACCTACACGAAGATCAGATATTACCGGTATATCGAGTTCTTTGAGATGTTCTTTTGGTCCTATTCCTGACAGCATTAGCAATTGAGGTGAATTGATTGATCCAGCTGATAAAATTATTTCTTTTCTTACCCTGATTGTTTGTTTTAATCCGTCACGAATAAACTGTACTCCCGTAGCTTGTTTTTTGGCATTAACGAGTACCTTTAATACTTGAGCGTTTAAAGCTATGTGTAAATTAGGTCTGTTCCATAACGGTCTTAAAAAAGCTTTAGCAGACGAACAACGTTTCCCATCGCGAACCGTAGCCTGCGTGCGCATGAAGCCAGTTTGATTTTCACCATTAATGTCTTGATTTTTGTAACCTAGTTCTTCACCACCTTGCAAAATAGGATCTAAAAATGATGACTTCCATCGAAATTCATCTACAGTCAAGTAACCACCTGTTTTATGATAAGGTGACTTCTCTAAAGAAGGGATCCTATTATCTTCTGATTTGAGAAAATAAGGAAGAACTTCGTCGTAACTCCAACCAGTGTTACCCATTTTTGCCCAATTGTCGTAATCCTTTCTAAAATATAATTAATCGATATTGGTAATAATAATAATAATTAATGTGTAATAACACAACGGATTGTACGAATAATTTTCTTTGCTTTTTCTACTTGATACAGTATATATATAAGTAGGACGTGGACAGGTCAGGTAAATGAAATTGAAAATTACCTATTTCCACGCAAATAGATCATTCCATTTAATACGCTGGTACCACCTAGAACTTTTCCGCGTGGCCAATTACATTTGCCTTCTTTCATCGCGAGACAATAAGCTGATGAATTTGACGGAATGGTTTTATATTTCCAATCTAATTCTGTTAACTGAATGTAAGGCGCGAACATTGGAACGTCCGTAATTTCGTTCTCATTACCACCGGCTTCCAATAACAAAACATTCCAATTGGATACCTCGGACAATCTTGAGGCAACTACTGCTCCAGCACTTCCACCACCAACAACGATGAAATCGTACGCTTTATTTAGCTTGAAAATTCATTTTCAAAAATAATGTTAGCATTTTCTTTTATCTTTTTAGTAAAATAAGAAAAAAATATAATCAAAAATTTGTAATATTAATAATTATTTAATTAAATACCTTACGAGTATTTATCGAAGAATATACACAATCCATTTTGTCATACATTTTGAATAATTTGTTAATGTCTATAAATGGAATATAGCCGATCGCTACAGCGAACATTATAATTAAAAGAACCGAATCCATTGTAATTTTTATTTTTTCACAAATTAATATTATACATCTTTTATATATATACCGTTATATATGTATACGCATTGGACATTAACAATTATTTACATGTCGACTCTCTTTTATATTCAAGAAGACAAACAAACAATATTGATAATATTATAATGAAAAATAAATGAATATATGATAATAGGTATGTGTTATCTGCTGATAAATGAATATATGATAACAGATATGTGTTATCAGCTGATTAGTAAACAAAAATTAAATTTTAAGTAATCTACAAAAAGTTTCCACACTTCATAAAATTTCGAAACAATATATATATTAAAAATGTACTCACTTTCAATGATTCACCTCCTAAGGTTCCCATTAAATGTGAAATTAATATATTTCTCCGTAGAGGAAGAATTACTTTTGTATAAATATTTTCTCACGCAAAAAATAAAGTCATGCCTTTTACTATCTCTGAAGTCAAAAATATAATTTTCATCTTTAGTTGTTACTAGGTGGGTAATTGTTGCAATTATCTCAACTAATTGTTGAAGTAGTTGACCTCATTTTTTAAATTTTAAATTTGTAGTGTATAATTATATACCTTTTTAAATTATTCTGCTTACAAAAAAGATATTTTTTTGTTTTTAGTATCAAATTAATGCTTATCTGTAGAAATAGGTAAATTGTAACATTTTTAAATTTTTTTAAAAACATCTAATAAGGCTAAGAAAAAAATAAAAAAAAAAATGTTGTTTAAATTAAAAATGATGATAAAGCATATTATTAACGTTATTTTATAGAGAAATATATTTCGAATATAATAAATTATATTAAAAATAAAAATAAAAATTTAAGTTTGAATTAACCGAAAATATTTATTTTGTTTAGAATAAAATAAACGACACAAATTTTCAGTTTAAAAAATAAACAAATAATCAAAAGATTTGTTGTTTTTTAAATTGTTAAACATTTTCTTGTAAAAAGCATTTAAAAATATACTGTTTAAAAAACAAGCGACTATTTTGGTGGAATTATTTAAAAGTTATGATTCATCCACGTCCTACTGTACTTGCAAATGGACAATACATACAATCTTGCAGTTGATTATGTTAATTTTAATATAAGAAGAGTATACAAAATACAACAGTTTAGTTAATATCTCATTTGTGTCAATCGGTAGCAAGATGTGTTGCTAAAAATTCGTCTATGGAATCTGTATCCCATTTATGTATATCAAGAATATCTTCCACTTTATTATCAGCATCTAATAATTTAATAATTGGATCCAAACCTCTTACATATCTTATTTGCAAATTTTTATATTTACTTGGTCGATCACTCTTTATAAATGCTAAAAAGATTGAATATTTTATAAGTAGTATTTCTATTTATAAATACCTTTCTATACTATTTCTTTTTTATAAATGTCGACATATATCCAATTATATATATAAATGTGTTAGTAAAATAAATATTGAATACCTTGTATTTGTGGATATGCACCAAATTTGCATGTGCAAACTTTAAGAATTGCTTTTGGGTATCGTTTAAAACCAGATGCATCGTAGTCATCATCTTTCAAACAACATTCTTTGCATTTGTCACTGAGACACATAAATAATATATTTATTGAAACATTTAGATCAACAAAAATAATATGGATTAATCAAGTTATGTTATAATATTCATTATACGTACTAGATTTCTGGTACATTATATTTGTTAAATTTATCACAAGTTGAACATAACAAATTAGCTTTATTAAATCCTAATTTTTTGCAATCGTCTGCAGAAAATTCTCCATTAATAATGCTTACCTATTAAATAAATATATAGAATTTTTTAATGTAAATAGTATTGTAAATAATTTATAAAGCACAATAATGTGATTAAAAACATAAAAATACTTAATTATTATGAGATAAAGGTTATGTGAAAACAGTTTATAATTACCATTAAACTAAGTAGAAATATATATAAAACTGTTTGGATATACATAATTTATGATTTTATCTTTTTAATTAAAGATTAGTATATAACAATAATAATTATGTCACATAAATATATTCAAATGTATTAAAGTATCAAGATAAACTAACTGTATAGGTTATACGTACAATAGTAGCGACACAGCAATATCATCCTCTTTGTCTGACAGATGATTTCTTTCGTTATACGCATGTGCAAATTCTTAATATAAACAACATAGAAAAGTTGTTTTTCAGTTAGCATTAGTCTTGTACAAGAGAGGTGATTTATATTAAAATAGAATTTTTAATGTAAGAAAAAACTTCGTAGCTTATCCATTTTTCTCGTTAAATTTCCTGTTATTATTATGGTTAACTCCAAATATGTACGTATATTCTTATCATGAGGAATGTTTGATAAATTCGTGACTTTAAAATGAAAGAAATTTATTATTAACCAGAATTACTTGTTGACATTATTATATAATCAGGTTTTTATTGCACAACTTACAAAGTTTTTTACAATGTCTTATCATTATATCACTTATAATTATCTCACATTTTTGGCTTGCTCTTAACATACCCCTCGTCTACCACTAATTATCAGCAATCTTAAAATTATACTATCTAAAAATTATAACTACCCAGATCTCACTCGAGTTCGTCTTCGCCTTCCCTCCCATCCTCCTCTACCCTCCTCCTTTTACACAGCTCCTCTACTTCCCTGAAAAATTCACACATCCCAACCTGAATCTTACCGCCTAACATTTTTATTAATTCCCCTCTTATAGCACCTTCCTCTATTCCAGCCATCCACTCCTCTACTTCCTTCCTTCCCTTCTAGGAAACCAATTCCCTTCCTCTATCACAGATTATCAGATGCTCCAACGTCTCTACATGCTCTCTGCATAACCTACAATTCCAGTCCTTTTCTCCATTCTTTCCTGCCTTTCCATTGCTGACATTATTATTTTTTGGTGTTTTATAAATAAACGAGAGAAAAAGTCACGGATTTATCAAATAATCTTTGTATGCATATGACTTTAACTTTGTTTCTTTAAATTTCAAGATTTTATTTTTAGATGTAATTTCGAAATTATTACAAATATACTACTAATAATAGTTCATATACCTTTTTATTAGTAACTATTTGTTACTCTCCTTTTTACAGGCTTGAGAAACTTTTCTACAATACTTTCTCTACACAGCCCACCTTTCTACAGAAGCTGTCATACCGTCTCTTTAGAATCAACACCTTATAATGTTCCAAAGTGGTCACTCATCCAAGTACTAATCATGTCCATTGTAATTTAATTTTAGTGATTGTACAGGAACCAGGTTTTTTAATGAAGCATAGTCATTGACAGTATATAATATGATTAGTAACATAAGAAAGACTTAAAAGAGTGATTTTTAGTATGTGAATGAATAGAAAGAATGAATGATAAGACAGCTTATATTTGTTATTAGGAAATTATAAACCAACTCCTATTCATAGCTACAAAGCTGAATATATTTTAAATAAACTAAACTAAACTAAACTTATATTGATTTGTGAATATACATATATAGTTTATAAACTTAATAGTAAGATAGTATTATTTCAACGATTATTCTTGATCTACTTCTTGCAAATGATCTAGCTTAATTTTTGTCGAAGGACAAATGTTTTGTGGAATTCTACTCTTTTTGACTTTCTTCATTGGTTTTTGTCCAACTACATATTCCGGTAAAATAAGTTTGCAATTTTTATATGTTAGTAGCTTTCCACCTGAATTTTCAATTGCAGTTGCATTTTTTGATTTAGTAGATTCAATTCTTGGTTTTCTAAATTTTACCATAGAAGTAGATGATTGTGCTTGTTGCGATTGAAATGATATTTTATTTTGATTTTCATTTGATACTGTTTCATCGACATCCATTTTATTTTCCAATTTAGATTCTTGTATTTTACGCTCTCTTAATTCTTTTAAAAATGACAACGCAACATGGGTATTACTTTGATCAGTCATATCTTCATTAGATACATCGTCCAAAGTATATTTGGTCCATTTATGAGGATTTTTATGATAATCTGGTATAGTTCTGTTAATGGAACGTGGAGCAGGTCCTTCTGGTCGCTTAAAAATACTTATTTTTCCTCGAAACTTAAGTGTCTCAGCATTTCTTTTTCTACCATTTCGTATTCGTGGTGAATTATAAATTACTCTTGGTACAACATCTACTTCCATGCGATCAGAAGCTACATCTTCTCTGCGTCTGTTATATTCTTTTTCTATGATAGACAATTGATCTACCATTGCTTTCATTTTGTTTGAAAAAGCAGGTGAATTATATTCCTCATTTACATTTGGGGAATATAATTCGCTATTCGGTATCAGCTGCATTTTTCTTAAAAGAAAATATGGAATGTTAACAAACGCATATACAAGATAATATTCTTAAATATTTTCAAAATAAAATCAATGCATTCTATATAACTGTACTTGATCGAGAAATTATAAACAATACATACGTTATTCAATATTCGATAAATATTAATTCACCGACGTAATATAGATTCAGATAGAAGTATATATATAGACACTAGGATGCATAAAGGTTATGTGCAGAATATATCTACCGTAAACGTCTTTGTGCGATTTTTGTATTTTTACGACAAAGCAAAAAATACACGAGTGCATAGAAGCTCACAAGTCCACTTTTCGCGTAACTACATTCATCTCAGTTACTAACCTGACTACTAGTGGACGTAGTAGGTACTTAACGCTATGACGTTATCATCAACGCTATCAAAGACTGCAATTATGACGGTAAAATACTATCAAAGAATGCAGTTATGACGGTACAATACTATCAAAGAATACAGTATTCTTGATAGTATACGGTATATATATAGTACAGTAGTATTTTGTAATAAAATTTTAAATAATTATATTTAATTGTTAGCGTATAAACATGTGTGTGCCTTCAGAAATGCGTATATAAATTAATTTTAAAAAGCAACAATATATTAAATCAATCAAGATGAGTTGATGTTACATCCAACGATGATTACCTGTAACAAGAAGAAAACTATATTAATCATACAGTCAATAAATAAACACAGGCCTAAAATACAAGTCGCCAAATTAGCAGATGCACTATTAAATATAATTTCCTATTTATTTTTATCAAATCTCTATTTTAGCTTGCATAAAATTAAATTAAAACGCGTGATTTGATTATTACAATATATAATAATTAAGAAATAAAAAAGCTACAAATATTACAATACAAAAAAAAGAATAAAATCTATTTTAATCATTGTGAAATACTTTTATACCGTGTTCTTTTTTTAAAAGAGAAACCTGCAAAAAAAAGAGTTATATTCTAGAACTGTAACGATACAATGAATGAATCGAATGCAATCTCTTTTATAGATCGCAACTTAAATTTCAACAATTTTTGACTACTCCCTGGTATCTGTAAATACATAAAAGTTATTAAAAAACATTATAAAGTAATTAGTTTCTGTATATTAAATAGATAAAAGGAACCAAGGAGAGAAGGGAATAAGAATATTATATTAATTAGGGATTTCAAAGAAACTAATTACAATTATAATGTTTATGGTAAGCGGTCTTTGGCTAGATTTTACTTGCAATGGAATGTATAACATATAAAATATGTTAAACATTATACTGAAAGTAAAATACCATTGCCCAGGTCTAACCACGAGGAGGTAACCGCTTCTGAAGACCCGAGATGTGCATCCTGAAGATGTCCACATCCGAATTAAATAGAAACCAAAGAAAATGATAACACCGAGAACGATTTTAAATGAGCCCCACTCTTAGGCCCCACCCTAAGAGTTTAATTCGAAAAATCCTTACAGTTAATTACTATCGAAATTGAAGAGAAAAGTTTGAAAACTGAATGAGAAAATGAAAACGAGGAGTGCATCTGAAAAAAATTCAAGTTACATCAATGATTTTATTGAAAACTAATATACTTTAGTATAATTTCAATATATGCACATACGGCAATTACAAGTTAGGAATATTTTATAATTATTAATTTTCAATCTGCCTTAAATATAGTATAATAAAAATAAATGTACATAATTTATGGTGCATATCTGTAAAAAATAGAAAAGAAAGTGCATTAAAAATAACTACCCTACATATGTGATGCTACCTGAAAAACCATAAACGGATTTGAAATATTCACACACACACACACACACACATTAATTTATAGAAATAATTATTTTCTGCTATCGTCAAAAATAACTCTGTCCACTAATGGTCATCTTATAATCCATTTCCCCTTACTCTTGGACGGAATGGTTATATGAAACAATAAACTGATTAAAAATATTCATCTACTTATAGAAATAATTATTTTCTGCTACCATTTACCATAACTCTGTCCACTTATGGTCATCTTTTAATCTATTTCCCCTTCCTCTTGGACGAAATGATTCTATGAAAYAAWAAACTGATTAAATAAGTTCATTTACTTATAAAAATAATGATATTCTACTACCGTTTACCATAACTTAGTCTCCTTTTGGTTCGTTTCCTCCTTCTCTTGGACGGAGTTTGGCATCCTAGTTCATCCAGCTTAGATAATATTACAAGGAATAGAAAAAGGATAGGGAAAMGTAGACTTTTAAGGTGGAACTTTTCACGATTTTTGTTTTAAGTGGTTTCCCACCGATCGGACTAATCCACTGACTCTAATTCTTTTTACGAGAAACCGAGGCTTC